TCCTCTGCTTTCACCACTCTGAGACCACGTTGCAACGACCATCCTTCCTTGACTGCCACAGCAGTCCTAGTTCTCTGCCTAGAGAATATCAGAGGCCAGAGCTATCAATCCAGATACATTTTACTAGCATGAAATGGAGCAGAAAAATCTTAACGGAAAATCATCTGGGGGTGACCAATTATGGCCATTATCTTTCTGTCATAAGTAGTTATCGCTGAAAAAAAATGCAAGGTCGCTATTAACAATATTGAATTAAGCAACAATGGTCACCATAGTTATGACCCGTAGAGCAGCATGAGATAAATGGTAATGCATGCAGTTTGTGATTACATCAGATAGCTACATCATAGAAGTAAATGCTGGGCCATGAGACTTTCATGTTCACACCTTGTCACCTCCAGTACATACTGTCTTTTGGAAAATCTGTTACTATTTTTACTCGGGGCCAGATCCTGATACCTCTATTCACATTGAGTAACACTATGCACCATTGAAGCCTTCAGAATAGGACTTCAGTGACACTAATATAGTACAAAGACTTTTTCCTGGCCCTCTGTACAGGGATGAATTTAATCCTGTCTGAGCATTTCCTGTTTCATTCATACCATCCACCCAGCTCTTCAAGCCAGGCATTGCAGCCATGAGCCTAGTCTAAAAGAAGACTTAACATAGCACCTGCTGAAGCCCATCAATGCTCCCAAACCAGCCAGAGGAGTCACTGCAAAATGATGCAAGGTACTTCCTTTATCCCAAAGCCTGATCTTCTTTATCACTGCCAACCTGTGAACTGTGATACCCGCTGTTGGAATCCAGCACCTTTTGCCAGGACAACACTCCCAGATGTTGTCAAAGCCTGGTAAGGTTCTATTCTTGTGTACTAATCTCTTCCAGTTTAGCCTAGCCATAGGGAATGAAGTCTATGAAGAAATCTATGAATAAATCTGATATTTTCAGGAAGCTTCTGCTATGTTTCTTTAAATATTGACATGTTTCAGTTGCAATTGTGTGAGCAAGGCCTTACCTTACTAGACTTCAGATTCACTCATCATTGCTAATATAAAGCAGAATGTACTGGAAGCTTATTTATCACCATATGTTGCAAATTAGTCATGCAAATTTCAGCAGCAATAGCAAAAATAGGTGATCCCATAATATAGTATAGACATGTAGTGATGGCAGGGGCAATTCTTTCCCCTGGCAGTCTCAGCATAGGGGAAGTGCAAGTTGCCTCCCCTCTGTCCCTAAACTGCCCCAAGCTCTGGTTCAGGGATGAATTCCCTGCAGTGTCCTGCCCTGGCCCCCTCCAATTATACCCATAGGATAGTTAGCGGCACTGTTCTGATTCAAAGTAACACGGTGGAGCATTGCAAGAGGAGTCTTTGGGGTAACTAGGCTCTATAGCATTATGGGTTTGTAGAGCATAACAAGCACACTGAATTTTACCCAAAAATGAAGTGCAAGGCAGTGGAGTGAGTGTGTGTATGTATGTATGTATATAATATATATATGTGTGTGTATGTATATATACATACACACGCTGTCTAGCAGTAATAAGCTCTCACCAGTTTGCCCTACTTACAAGGTGGGCAGCCACAGTCAGCACTAACTGAAGTTTCTAAATGGCCCTTAAGGATCACCTCAGCTCGAGTGCATTGCAAAAGTCTCCATCACACATTGTGATTTTTATACAGTAAGTGATCCTAAATTATTCTCTTTGGATTTTCTTTGTTAGAATAACAGTATTGCTCATCCTAGTTTTCAACAAGCACCTAGTTTTCAGCGTCCAGACTCCAAAGCCAATGTGACAAAACAGCCCCCCCCCCCCAAATCCCTATCACACACACCACAAAAACACATCCATAAGAAGATTTTTTGGGGGGGGGGACGACTGTTTTGTCACATTGGCTTTGGAGTCTGGATGCTGAAAACTAGGTGCTTGTTGGGTATATTCCTCTGGGATTTCTTCAGAGCCCCGCCTTTAACCTTTATATTCTTAAATTTAATATTATTGTCACTATTATCCCAGGTGTTTAAACAGTCCCATGTTGTGACTTTTTCTTACACTGTGGCTGGCCAACAAAAGGGTGAGGCAGGGAACAAACGGGAGGGGGGATTTCATTTGTTAATAGGTTCTGTGCTAGAGCCAGGTGTTTGATTCAGTAGTGTACTAAAAACAGACTGCATGGGGGAAAAATTGGAAGAGATTAATGCATAAACAAACAGACTGAGAGGATTAGGGCAGCATCTGATTCTCTTGGCCACTTGACCTACCTCTCATGAAGGTATTTTTAATCACACTAGGAATAAATGAGACAAGGTTAAGGCAGGCAAGAGTCACAAGCTGCATCGCCAATTAATTTTGTAGATGTAGCTAAAGAAGACTTGCTAGAAGTGTGTTTGATCCCTTTTTCCAAGGGTGCAATATATTATTTTAAGTGCTGTTTTTATTTCTGCTAGTGCAGGGACAATATGATACTCTGCCACGTGTGGATCTGAGTTCAGGGCCCAACCTCAGTCCCTTGCTTTCCAAACTAGCACTGGGAATACTATACTGTACAAGGAGGTGGGCATGTCAGAAGAACCTCCTGGATGTGTCTATGGCCAGTGCTGTGAGCGGCATTGGTTTATGTTGGAAGAACATCCAACAATTTTTGGTCAGAAGGAAGGTCCAAAATGGGGTTGTCACAGGGCAGGGCATCTCCCGAACTTAGCAAGTACTCACTGCCAAGCCTAGTCTCCTTTAAGAAGGTTTACTGTGCAATGAGAAACAAATAAAATTTGCTCACCTTTTGTTCTAGTGTTTCATAGGGCGACCTTCCCCTCTTGCTCTAGGGACCCACTACAGGCATTAGCTCTATCTCTCTGTTCCCCCAGACACAGCCTATCCCAATACTCCCTGTCCTCTGTCAGCTCTTTATAACCCTAAGTGTAGCCTTGCCCCTTTTAATTGGTTCAAATGGGCCCACCTGCTCTGACACAGGGCACTGGCTCTGGTCTACTGTCAGGGAGTGGCTGGTTGGAGGTGCTTTGTCTCCCAGGAGGAAAAAAATACACACAACCACATGCCCACACCCAAAATAATTGGGGACAGGGATTTAGTGCCCCCTGAATCTTGGGATCCACCCTGATTGCCTGTCCACTTGCCTCTAAGGTCAGCCGTGAGTATCCTATTGTCATTGTCCAAGTGCTTTTGCTTTTGGACCATTCCTGTTGAATAATATAGTATTTGTTTAAAAGACAAGAAGACAGGGAATGAAGAGCAGATTATGAAGGGGCATCCTGGAGGTACTCAAAGGTACCTGGTAGGTACAGTTGTTGAAGGATCAACATTGTGAAGGATCAACATTGTGAAGAAACCAGACACATTTATTACTATTTGTATAGTGTCCAGGAATGTGCTAGACACTTCACAATACAAATAGAAAGACGGGGTCCCTGTCTGAAGAATTTGCAAACTAAAGTTCCAATGCTGCACACACTTACACATGATGTGTACATTTATGCACATGAGCATTCTCGTATGTGTCAGTGTTTACAGCACTGGGCCAAACTTTTAGATGAAAAATACTGGTTGAGAGGTGAGGAAGAGTGAGGAGAACAGCAGTAAGCTTTTGCAGTTGTCCAGGAGACATGTGCAGTTCTTTATTTTATTTTAACATGGAAGAATATACTTGTGTATTAAATCCATTTGTTGGGGGCTGGGAAGTCAAGGCTGCTCTTATGGCTTGAGGTTTCTTCAATAACATTTTTTCCATAATCCACTATGTGGAGGGATGGCTGATGTCTCTGGAATTGTCTGTTCTCTGTCACATATTTAAGATGCAACCATGTAAGCAGTATTTACTTACTGTGTCCAATCACTAATGTTTTCTGTTGAAGTTTTCCTAACTATGTTCTCCTTAGTTGTGAAAGTGCCTATTAACTGCTTCCTCCCACATATCTGTTCAGATTTCCTTTCCTTTCCCCTACCTTGGTATAATTTCATTGGGTCTCTCATTAGGGCTGGTGCATTAATACCTCCTGTCTGCTGCCCTCTCCAGCTTTCCTACTCCTGTAACCACCTGGACAATTTCCCCCTGGTTTTAAATTTTTACAGATTAAACTCAGTTTAATCGAAGCAGAATCAGGTTTGGTTGTAATGTCTTACAAACAAAAGACAAGAGTCAATATCCTGTGGAGAATAAAGGTGAAAGCCTGGCCGTCTCTAGAAAGTCTAATATAGCCCCCAAGGTAAATAAAAAGCAGTGGTTCGATGGAGAACATATTTAATTCATTGCTGCTCTGTACCTCCCCTGCCCTCACAACTCCAACACCTTGTAAGGGAGGAAGGCTGTTTTTATGTATAGGGTTTTCATTTAAAATATGGCACGGGTGCCAGTTCTCGGGCAGCCTTCTCTCTCCCTCCCTGTAACGAATGTGATTGATAGAGGAGAGACCATTCCAGCAGGACGTGTGCCCAAAGCAGCTGTCAGAAACCTCTTGGAGGAGCTAGGGCTCCGTGTGTGTGTGTGTGCGCGCGCGCAGGGGGAGCAGAGCTAGTTAATCAGCAGCTGTAGCCGTGACCCTCCCGTCTTCCTTCCCTCGTCTAAACGCTCCAGCAGGCTCCCCTGTTCCCCAGTTGCTTTCTCCCCTCCCCTCCCCCTCCATCGTCCTATAATTTTCAGAGGGGACCCTAACTCCCCCATATCTCTCCAGAGCTCCCCCTCCCATTGACACCCCTCATCCCTCCCTGGCTCCTGGGGGAAAAAAAAAGCGCCCCCACCCCGTAATATTGTCCTGGCGCCTCCCGGGCCCATTCCCCTGAGAGCGATGAAACGCCTTGCGGCTCCCGAGCCGCGTCCGCCACCCGCTCCCGGGCCCCGCGCCCCCGGCCCGGCTGGAGGCGATGCTGCCGCTCCCGTTCCCGTCTTAGGAGGGAGTGGCAGGAGCAGCAGCAGGAGGAGGCGGGCGCTGATTGGCCCGGGAGGAGGGGGAGGCAGAGAGTTTCCCACAATGCCCCGCTGCAGGGCAGCCGCCGATGGATGCTGCGGGAAGGTGCTGCCATTTGCAGCCTCCTCGGCGAGCGGCTCCAGCTGCAGCAGCCGTCCCGTCCCTGGCCCTGGCCCCCCACCTCAGTGGCTGCAGCCGCCGCCGGCCCCGCGCCTGCTCCCTGCTGCTCAGGCCCCTGGGGGCTGCTGTCCTTCCCGCCCCGCAATGAACCCCCCGTCGGCAGCCGGTGAGGACAAGGGGGCTGCAGGCAGCGGCAGCTGCTGCCGAGGAGCCGAGGGCGGCGGGGACACGAGGAGCGCGGCGGCCGCCGCCGAGGAGGAGATGGGAGTCGCCGGCCCGAAGGAAGAGTCCCTGGAAGAAAAGCTGAGGAACTTAACCTTCAGGAAGCAGGTGTCCTACAGGTGGGTGAGGGCGGGGGAGAGGGGCTCCCGAGCCCAGACACGCGCCCCTCGCACCAGCCTCGGGGGATGAGATGAGATGGGATGGGGGGGACTCCTGGAGCCGCAGGAAAAGGGTTCCAGCCTTGGAAGTTTCCCTGGTGGCTGCAAGCTCCCCGCTTCCGCGCTGCATTCTTGCCGCCCTGGAAATAGCTGAGAGGAGGCACCAAGTTGGTAGCTTGAACCACTCCAGCAGGTAGGAATAGGCCAGTGGGGGAGCTCAGGCTGAGATGCGGGGACCCCCAATAGCCCACTGAACTGGCTCTGGTGGTCTCCAGGAGCAGACAGACAGCTTTGAGGAAGGTGGTGGTGGGGTTTGGGAGGGAGAGAGATTCCACAAGAGAGACTCTTACTCAGTGGGCTACAATATAGAGAAAGTGCCATAGGAAATAATCTTTTGGTCAAGTTAATGTCAAAAAATTTGCATATAAATAATGTGTGTGTGTGTGTGTGTTCTGCATATACGTGTTTTATATATATGCATATATATGTGTGTGTAGGTATATTAGTATGCTTGTCCATGAAACATGCTATATTGTGGCAGTTGGTTCTGATGTAGTGTTTCCACAGAGTGCCCTGACAGCAGGCTGTGGGAGTTATGCTGTCAGAATGATGTTGCAGAGTCAGGGATTAGGGTGAGGGCAGCACCATAATTGTCTGTGTTGCTTTTATTTTCCCCAGTCAATCTGGATTACACTAAAAAAAAACAAACAAACAAACCCATGATCTTGTTTACGATAACCCTCCAAATAGGTGTGTGCATACAGACTTCAGGATTATCCAAAGAGGGTCAGAAATACTGCCTGACTGTCAGGGGAGTGGAGCGATTCTTGAGTTTTGCTGTTTAGAATAAAGTTAAGGCTGCTAATCATTTCTTGGGCCTCCTCAAAACATTTATTAGAAAGGGGTCACAAAAACATTTCCTGTGGCATTGCTGCTTCTGATCAGGATTTCTTTATGGAAAGTGTCATGAAGAGAAAGTCTTCTTTCTCTCCCCCTCAACCCCCAAGTGAGTCATTATGTAAGCATTAGCAGATGACAAAGTATGTGGGTGGTTATACTGAATACCCACACAACTTGGCTGATTTGTGAGGCAGAAGACCAAAGGCCAAGCATGTCCAAACACCTGGGAAGTGTGGGCATTTGGTATAACTGAAGTGTAGTGTTGCTTTTATGACATGTTTTTTTTTTCCATTTTGTCACAATGCATTTACACCAGATACTCAAACAACTAGATTCCTCTTTCAAAAATATATTTCTGTCACCTGATAACTCAGGGCATGCTAATGGAGTCCTTCCTTTTTTAGGTTACCAGTTACCATCTGCTCCCAAGTCAGTAACTATTGAAAATGGTTACTATGTGAGAGGTGTTTGGCTCATGTCAGAGAAGTTGGTGGCCTCAGTCTAGTTCTAGAAGATTTACAACCACATATCCCCCCCCCCCAAAACCCCATCATAGTGTGACCCCACACTTTTGTCAGGGGTGAGCCACATTAACTGTGATGGTGGAAGAAGATCATATAGCTGCTACTATTCTGCCTTTAGAATAAAACAGGACTTCTGTGTCCAGGGCTGTCAGCTCAACAACTTTCACTAGCACTGAGGTGCTTCTTAAAAATACTTTGGGGCTGTCCCCTTATATTCTAGTCAGGTTAATAATGCTGCTCTCTCTCTCACACACGCTCACTCACTCAGTGATGGTTTAAAAGGATGTAATTACATACTTGTGGGGAGATCTTGCCTTTCCATAGTTAAAGCTGAATTTAAATAATACTTCATGTATGGATAGAGAATATTTCTTCTGACTTTAGTAAGGGGTGACTGCTTAGTTGATGAGAGTAAAGCTGTGAGTGATTCATACTAGGCTGTTCTTAGTGAGTGACACTGGCCTCCTCTTGAACTTTTTGTGTATATAGCATCTTTGAATATTTTTATAACTTTATTACAGTAGGTTTTTAAAAAAATTGTACATTTTGTGGCAGCAGCTTGTGCCAGTTGCAGCTGAAGACCGGGAACTCCACAGGTGGGTTAATAAGCCAGGGAGGGTCAGTTCTAAATGTTGACATCTGCCAGCCAATATGCATTTGGTGCAAGAGGGATGTGGTTTGCAGTAGATTTGGGAAGTGTTTCTATTCAAGTTGTATATGCTCACTTTATTTGATTAGTTTGGGTATCTTACACTTACAAATCTATTTGCAACATGTTCTCTTTCCCTGGTACTGTGAAGTATGAGGAGCCTTTTCACTGGGTCCCCCGCATTTCTGTACTGTGCATATGTAAGGGTTTCATTATAAATGTAGCTTGGGAGGAATGGTGGGATTTCTCCCCTCACCCTTTCCCCACATATGTGTGAGCATGCAGCAAGTCCTGAACCTTTAGAAATGGGAGGTTTTCTCAGTAGCTTATAAATAACCATTTCTGGAGGCATATTATTCATTCTGCTTGATTTAGACTGAGGAAAGGAAAATAAATTCTCTATGCATCCTGGGATTTCCACACACTTTTTTTTTTTTTTTGGAACTGATTTCCTGCAAGGAATGCTCCTTTTTTCATTTACTCATAGAGCAAACACCAGAGTCAAAGATTTGTACAAAGCACTGCTGAGTTTGTTTTTTCCTCTCTTAAAATCACTGTCTTTTTTTCTCTGCAAATTATGGTGCTGCAATGGATTTATAAATGCAAATGACTGTATAATGTGCAGGAAACTCTATTTATATTGGCACTTAGACTCCTTCACACAATAGTAGAATAAAAATTAGTCAAAGCACCACACTGGCTTTCAAATGGTTCATTTAGGGTTGTCTTTGTGTGTGTATTATATTGACACACAAGCGTACATCTGTATTTATATGTACATAAAAGAATATAGCAGGAACATGCTTAAAATAGCCCAGACCCATGCAAATAAATGTAAAAACTGCATTGGTGACAAGTGGCTAAGTGGAACATGAGTGGCAGGGAAGGAGGTGAGATGTTTTTCTGGGAAAGGGGCAAGGGGGAAAAATGAAAGAAAGAAAGAAAGGAATTTTTTTTAAAGTGCTGTGTTTGTATGCCTCTTTCCTGTCATACGCAACCTGTGTTGTACATGAATTTTGGTTACTTTTTCTTAGTTCCATTCCTTTTGTCCTCCCATTTAGTTGCTAAGCAACAACTGTTTCACTGTAAGAAGATCTGGTTAGGGTAATTACGTAGTTACTGTGAAAATGTAACTTGTTAGTTTCATAGGGGCTATGCCATAATTATAATAAGCAGCCTAGTTCAGATGTAAATGTTTGCATTCATGTGACCAGTGTATCTGAGTGCAAGGATTGATTTATTAAATTGGGAATGAAGTTGTGTTTATGTATATATATATACATGCCATGCATACATGGGCATATTTGTTCCTTTATATAGTGAAATCTAATCTGTATTTGGCATTTAGAGAAGACCACATAAGAAATTGCTTTGCGTCCTTAGGCATGTTGCACATAGTGCTCCAAAATCAATTAAGTGTATTGTGTTGCCAGTTCTCATATACCATATGCAGTCTATACCAAGAGAATGTTGGCAGAGCTACTAGAGGAAGAAACGTTTTGTTTACTCCAAAAGCTGCTCATACTATTAGGATAGACGTTTGCTTGCTGTTTTCCTCCCAGCAGTATATTTATATACACAGTGGGAATGTGGCACTTACCTGTGCTTTTGCATAAGATCGTATGTATGCTGAGTATGTATATGTGCATATGTACAGTCAGTTTAAGTAGATCTTCATTTGCGGATGGGGTACTTGCCCTTCTAACTTGGATTAGTCATTTTCAGACTTGGAGTAGTCTCAATACATAGTTATGTGAAGCAAGCTCTGGGCTTTGCAGCTAGACCTTAACTATCAAGTAACATGTATTTTACAGTCTCTTTAGCAACATTGTAAAAAAGCATTGTGGGTGTGTGGTATTTTCTCTAAATCAAGGATATGTGGCCAGCCCAGTGGCTGTTTGGTCTAGATGAAAGTTGAGGAAATGGTCTGCCTTGTGAGCCCAGTTCAGGCACCGAAATTGGGAAATCCTCTTCCATATCTGGGACTTTACATTGGAATACAAGCACCCCAGCAGCCATTTTAGTGCTGATTTTTACTGCCCAAATATTGTGGTAAGCATCTTAAGCAACTAAATATGAACATTGGGCTTACAAATTTAAGTTTATCATTTTAAAAATATATTGATTTAATGAAAAATTCGCCTCCATCCTCCACAGAAATTGGCAAAAACAGATGCCTCTCCCACAAAGCAAAAGCTCTGCTAACTCTGGTCCTTCGAGGAGCACTACCCATAAAATCACAAGACCAATCTGGACATTTAATTAGCTGTGTTGAGTTCTTTGCATGTTATCACATAAAGGCGCTGGGAAAGTTCCCTCCCCACCCCATCCACCCGGAATTTTGCCTGGGCAAACTTCATATATTTCACTTAAAAGGGACACTGTCAACTTAACTTTAGTCCAAACTTTACTTTTTTGTTAAAAGCAGCTTTTTTCAAACTGATGATCAGTAGAAATGTTTCCACTAAAGAAAACAGCCAATGAAAGGTTTAAGATAGACATCATCCTGACACATTTGAAACCCCAAACCATAGCAGGTTTATAAACCTTAAAATTAAACTGAGTATAAACAAAAATGACACTGCACTGTCTTGGTCATCATTATTTAAGTGGGTTTTCATTATTTAAGTGGAGAGAAATATTAAAAAGTAAACAAGCAGCATAAAACTTGACAAGCACATTGGCTCTTTAAACTTCTTTCACTTCTAATACTTAGTGGTATTAGAAATATGAAGTATTTGACACATGGAATATGAAGGTAAGGTTTTCTGCTTGTTTAAAAGTTGTCAGTTGCTGTCTTTTAAGTGTTAAAGTGAAATTCACCAAAGAACTTTCCTATGAATAGGTTATGTCATCCATAAATTTAATGCTGTCTTCACCTTGACCTG